GTAATCTCAATAAATCCTCACAACTGTATGAGGTAGATTCAATTATTACCCCCATTTGACAGATGAGGAAACTGATGCACAGGTAAGTTACATGATTTGCCCAAGGCCACATAGCTAGTAAGTGAGAGAGCCAGGATTTGAACCCAGGCAGTCTGATTTAGATTCTGTATTCTTAACTGCTATGTTTTATTGCATCTCCAATCTTTATGATTCTCCTTCATGCCTAGTATGGAGGTTTGCACATTGTAGATGCCCAATAAAAAATATTTTCAACAATTTTATTTTAGGATCATGGTTTCTTACATATTCCCATTAGTTTCATACCCAATCATCAATTTTCCTTAAGAAAAACAGGTGAAACAGATTTTTAAATGATGATTAATACTCTGCCTACTTCAAGAAAGCATTGAGGGGACTAATAGGTACATAACTTTCACTATAAAGTACTCAGCCAGTTGCCACCTTTAGCAGTAGGTCTTTGAATGATTTCAATTTAGGTCAGAGAAGGAAATTCCAAACATGCAAGACTTGCATAAACACAATTCCTTTTTTTGCTCTGTGCTTGCCTCATTATCCTATGCAAGAATGAGAGGAATCATTTCATCTCAGTAGTGCTACTTATTTTTATTTTCTGTCTGTCTACCACTATTCAGCTTCCTATATCACTCATTTGTCCATCCATCCATCCATCCATCCATCCATCCATCCATCCATCCATCCAACATATGCCATGTATCACTAGGTGCTTAGTATTGACACCAGAAAGGAGATGGAAAGATGATAATAGAATCTTGCTGTTTACTTAGCTCAATTATTCTGAAATCACATGTAGACATTCAAGGTGATTGCTTTAGAGTTGATAAAACACATTCCAAAGAGAAGTGTCTTTTAATCCATAGACTGGGAGTTAAACATTCTTTAACTAGAAAGTTCTATTGCTTTTTTTTTTTTTTTTTTTAGTCTTTGCCTTACTTCTTTTTGAATGAAATTCATCACTGGGTATAATTATAGTTTATCCAAAGCCTTGAGTTATTATTGACATTTACTCAGTCATCAATGAAAGAGGGAAGAGATAATCCTCCAAGGAACCTTTCCATAGGACATGAACTGTTAATTCTTCTGCTGAACTGTGGTCCCTTGAAGAGCCATCTTTGTTTGTGGGCTACCCTCAGGTGGTGGTTGCAGAGGCTTTTGGCCTGTGCCTGAGGATGGTCCCAAAGCATGGATGCTTAGGAGGAGAACTCAGCATCTCCTGAATAAGGTGACTGGCCAGATGGGCTCAGGCCCCAGCCTGGCTTTTGTCTGTTCTGATAAGCCAGGATCCACTTTGCACCCATAGCAGCAGTGGCTTGGCTTCCATCTGGGGCTTTAACATGCTTCTGCTTGGGCTTTTTCTCCTGGATTGAGCCTTGGGAATATCCGTATATTATATATCCTGGGTTTTCAGTGAACCATGGAAAAAGGATGATCCTGAAGTAGAAAGCAAGACAGAGGCACGAAGGACCAGGCAGAAAGGAGGTTCCTTTATACCATGATGCTTTCAAAGTAGGCAACTGGATGAAATGCTTCACTTCTTGGTTTAGTCATCTTTTTACCCCAAGTGTCATCATTTGCTTGGCTGAGCACTTCTGTCTTGCACTCTTTCTCAGCTCTTATAATTCACACTGTGAATGATCTTGAGACTCTTTGCTTTATTATCTATGAAGACCCTAACCCTACTGTTTAAATCAAGGCAGCTGAAGGAAAAGATCTCTAAGATCTAAATTCTGTGATTCTACTTAGCTTTTCTTTACCCTCAAGGAAATCCAGTGCCCTTGTTCTCATTCACTCCCTTCCTTCTGGTGGAAAAATATTAAATTAGTAGGAGACTTCATGTGGCCATTTCTGCCCCATCTTTTCCATTTGGAATTCTTATTAGTCCATGTTGATTATGTGCTGTGCTGGCCAGAAGGAGGGCAGCTTAGAACCCAAGCACAAATTTACCCATTTCTAGATCTTGGTATCCTTATCTTTAAAATGAAGGGATTGAACTAAATGATTTCTGAGGTCTTTTACAGCTCTAACATAACACAGTCCTAGTATTTCCGTGGAGCAAAAACTCATAGGATTTCAGATCTAAAAATCTAGATTTATGTGTGTCTGTGTGTATGAAAGAGAGAGAAAGAGAAAGACAGAGAGACAGAGAAAGAGTTTTATAGGAGATGGAATCAGAAGGCAGTAGTCAGACATCAGATGTCTTCTGTTATGGGCTGAATTGTGTATCCCCCCAAATTCATACGTTGAAGTCCTGACCCCCACTACCTCAAAATGTGACTGTATTTGGAGACAGGGTCTTGACACAGGTAATTAAATGAGGTCATTATGGCAGGTCTTAATCCAATAACCAGTGTCCTTATAAGAAGAGGAAATCCGGGTACAGAAATACGTACAGAGTGAAGACTATGTGAAGACACAGGGAAAGAAGGCCAATTACAAGTCAAGGAGAGAGGCCTGGAACAGATCCTTCCCTCACAATTCTCAGAAGGAATTGACCCTAACAGCACCTTGATCTTGGACTTCCAGCCTCCAGAAGTATGTGAAAATAAACTTCTGTTGTTTAAGCCACCTAGTCTGTGGTACTTTGTATTGGCAGCCCGAGCAAACTAATACATCTTTTATATCTGATTCCAAAGAGCAAAAAAAAAAAAAAAGTTCAATGACCTCCTCTCATAGGTTACCTCCCAGGCCTTTAGGCAAATACTGGATGGCCTTTGGCCTGAACCTGCACTTGACTAAGAAATGCAGCCTCCAGTGACACTGCAGGAAAGGAAATCTGGGAACTTCTATGACACAATTCAGTCTTGCTGAGAATTTTGGGCTAATATTTAACTCTGGACATATATTGACATGGGCAATTCTTCTATAATAGATGCATACAAAATTTTAAAATGCATATAAAAGCCTTGATTTTTATCTTAATTCTTTTACTTTAATTGTTTTTTGGGGGAGGGGAATGTTGTATCTTGTTTGCCTCTTTCATAATTTTTATTCTTTTTTCATTCTCGTCATTGTCTTTCTTTGGACTTTCTTGGCCATTACATTTTTCTTTTCCACTTTCTCCATGCTTATTAGCCACATCCTACAACAAGATTACTGCTCCTCCTCCTTCCGTCACATGCATTATCTAGCTCCATCCAGCCTACTGTTCTTCATTTCCTCTATAGCATTTCCCACTTCCCTTTACGGCTGTCTGCTTCTCTCTCATCGTCCATGCCTCTGTCTGATTAGTCCTTCTCTCCTCCATTTTCCTTTGTTTTTGCCTCTGTGTTCAGTTTCTAGCTCCACTCTCCCTTCTCTGCTCTTTCTTCTTTTCTTTCATCCGCTGACTTGCTTCTGTCCCCTCCTTCTGTTTCCCTCCTGGGTGTTTCTTTGGCCCACCTTTCCTTCTCCTCTGAGACTTCGTTTTCTTGTTGGTAGATGGGGGCTGATACTGTAAACATCACAAAAATAATTGCATTGAGAACAGGTGGTTCCCTCGGTGTCCCGGAAGACAGAGCCTTTGAGTTGCCCAGAATGCCTGGACTCCATACGATGCAGGAGACAGCATTGGTGCTGGAGAGGTGTCTAGACCTCGGTTACAAGACCCAACATTCCAGAACTTTGGGACTCATCTCTGACCCCCCAACATTCCAGAACTTTGGGACTCATCTCTGACCCCCGCCCCAACTAGAAATCGAGAGGCACTGGGTCACCTGGGAAGAGAAAGAATTAACCTACCCTTGCCCCCTCAAGCACACTTTCCAGCCACCTTCACCTAAAAGTTACCTCTGTTGTGCTTACTCCCTGACTCACTCACTGGCTACCTGTCCTCTGTGCACCAGGTTGTGCTCAGTCCCTTTTCATCTCTCAGGGTGGCTCCCTGGGGTCACATCTCTGCCAAGCCCCCTGGTCCTCCTCCAGTCTCAGCTGTAGTCTAGGACCAGGAAGCAGCAAGGATGTCATTGTGGACTTCTTGGTCTTTGTCTTGTGCTGTCTGCACAATGCTAGTTTTGGCTCCAAAGATTAAAACCACAGGTTGGTTTTTCTTTGTCAACAGAGTCCCCAAGGAGACCTAAATGAGAGCTTTTCCTTTCCTCCTCACTCATCCTTCCTCGCTTTCCTTTTCCTCCTTCACCTACTCTTTAGTTCTCATTCTTTCTAATTAATGACTAAAATTTTGGTTAATTACTTGTATTCATTTCTTCACTCATTCATTCACTCATTCAACAAAAGTTTATCAAGTGACTAATATGCATGAGATGGTTTGCATACTTTTGATGGTGTAGATAGTACCTGTAACGTTTGTTTAGTCTAGCTCTTAGTAAAAGACACCCGCAGATTTTGATCATTAGAAACTTAGGTGTTCTTAGAGCCAAACAGAAATTTCTATTTTTAATGTTTTTTTCTTTAATTACGTTTGCCGCTGAATGTGAATTTCAAAAAGTTCTCATTTTAGAATACTTTTTCTTTGCATCTTTGCAGAATACTAGGACTTGAAAGGTTACATGCTTTGTTATTAATTACAGTTACGACAGACGTTAACACTTGTCCAACAGTTACTTTGTGCAGGCACGTGAAAAGCATTGTATGTGCATTAACTTACATAATTCTTATAACAACCTGATGAGGTAGATATTCTCGTTATCCCAATTTTACTGATGAAGCTAAGGCTTTGATAGATTACGTTATTTGGCCAAGAGCTCTCAGCTGCTGGTTGGAGAGGGTATAACTTCAGTTTTGTCTGATACCAAAGCCCATGTTTAGTGACTGTTCTCCACCATCTTCTGGTTATCAGATCGTCCAGAGCAGTGGAAAGGAGAATTTGCAATGTGGCGTGACCAAGAGGGTGGACATCGAAGTTGAGAATGGAGCTGTTTTGATTTATAAGGCAGGAGACTACGGGGCATAATTTCTGTTTGGCCCATCCACACATAAGATACAGATCACTTGAGGATGGCCAGATCCCACTGGGGCTGGCTTACCTTCTGAGCCTTGGGCATGTCAGTGTGGCGCTGGGCACGGACGGAGCGGGCCGACTTGGCAGGCTTGAGGGGTGCGCAGTACATCTCCAGCCTCCTCAGATCACAGCTCCGGAAGCAGCACTCGTCCACGATGCCTGTCTGAGGTGCCCTCCGACTGCTGGAGCCGTACCCTGTGGGCTTGTCTGTACAAATCAAAAGCAGAGTGGCCTGGCTTTAGAGTGGAATCTGTTATCTTTGCAGTTCCACCCAGACTCTGAAGACTCTCCTCTCCCCACACCTAGTCAATCTGCACATTTCAACCTCTTCTTGAAGCTTCTCCAACAATTCATGACCCCACAGATCCTTCTGGATTCCAGTATGTCTCCTGGAGTCTGTACCACACTCATTAGGACTAACTCATACACCATGCACTTTATTTGTGTTAATTCTCCTCAAGTTCTCAGCAACCTGTAGTCAAGGGTCTTGTATACGCCCAATCCTAGCTTTTCCTCATATTGACTTAGTTGGGAAGTCAACTTAGCTGCTAGGAATATTAATTAAAAGATCATGTTTTAAGTTGTCTTAATCTTGTTAGCAAATCGGCGTAGTTTTTATGCACAGGACAGCTCAAATGTTTGCTCTTTTTGCTTAGCTGCTTCCATTATAACTTCTTATAATTCCATTATAATTTCTCAGAAAGATCCTTAATCCTGTGAACTCCCTTTTGTAAGAGGGAAAGGGCCAACCTGTAAGGGCAGCCTGTCCAGGTAAAACTGTGTTCAGTCTACTGCTATGTGAGGGGGTCACAGCTGAAACCAGCTGCCACACAGCAAGGGCCCAGCTCTTGAGGGCGTCAGGGTGTGAGCTCAGAGTTACATGGTTTCGAATCTTAGGAAGGGGCTTTTCAGACTTAGCGTTCACTTTCTCCTGAGATAGGGAATGTGTCACTCTGCCAGAGTGCGGCTTTTTACAGATTATTAAATAAAGTTGTATATGTCTCATTGTTAAAAAAAAATTGAGCATCAAAGAGGTTTTAGTCTGGAAAGGGATCCTCATTTTACTGATGTGAAAATTGAGACTCAGTGGTGAGAATGACTTGCTCAAGGTCATTTATACAGTAAGTAGGGAGCCAGGATTCAAACTCAGATCTACGCCCTGCAAAGCTCAAGTGACTCATAGAGCTCAGGAGACCAGTTGTAAGACTCTGGACACATCATGTAAGCTTCCTTGGCCTCAGTTTACCCATTTGTAAGCTGGGCTTAAAAATATCTTCCTTGTAAGGATTGCTTGAGGAATACATGAGATACTGTATGAAAAGTGCTTAGCACATTACTGACATGTAGTAGGTCTTGAGTAAATATGGGTTTGCTTCCTCTGAGCACCCCTTTCCAGGATCTGATACAGTTTGCGAAGAAACAGCGTTCCACTACTGTCTGCACCCAGAAACCTTGGAACTTGGAATTGATGACAAAACCAGTGTGATAGGGCTCCCTCTCCTATCACCGTAGAGAGACCAGAGCAACCTTCTGTTTTCTTATAGAATAACTACTAGACTGAGACCAAATGAACTAAATGTCCATCTCTCATGTGATTCTGATTGCCCAGAGGGAACACCATAAATCAAATTTCTTTTGATATTTACAAATCAATTAGACCTCTTTCCTTTGCAAGTAAGTTTTGGTATGGTTTTATTTTGTTTTGTTTTGATTTGGACACAATTTTCTTGGCTCTAGAATTAAAAAAAGAGGGCAAAACAAGCTTACATGAACTTGTTAGAAGAACTTAAATGTATCTGAATTCTTTGTAAACTTTTTGTTCCAGTAGAGCTTTTGTTAAATCTTGCTTATACACCAATATGTAAAACAGACAAAGCCAAACTGCTGTGGCTCAGGCAAAGGCAGGGGGACTGGATCTCGGCTTTCTCTCCTCTCCCTTACTTCCCTTGGGAGGTGGGGGGCTGAGTCTTCTGTACTGATGTCCAGCCTTCATGGAAGAAAATTTGTGAACCATTGATCCAGAAGAATCTAATTAATCTGACATATATTCAGTCTTAATTCCTGACACAGAAGACAGCATTATATTTTAAATAAAAAGTCTTATGTTCACATGATAATGACACCATATTTCAGGATGGAGTTTTGAAAATCAAAATCCCCAAGTATATTTTGAACTCTTTAGTCGGGGAAGATTAGACCCACGGTCATGGACCTGCTACCAAACTAGTTTGGCCACCTCGCTTTTCATAGGGCCAACCATTCATGTCACCCTCTAAGAACCCAACGTTTTCCTGATGCTTGGCACAAGAGCCTGGGGAAGCTTCCTCCCCAGAAGGCAGGTTTATTGTCGTTCTTAGGGCCACTGAGGGTAGTAACTCAGTGAGGATTCATTTGTGGTCTCTCTGGGCAGGGTCTGCTACTTTTGGTTGGGGGCAAACCCTGTGGGCTCCTCATGGTTGAGGGGTTTGGGAAAGACCAGACAACCAACCCCAATGGAGCCTCAGCAGTGCTTTCACTTGCCATTGGAGGATCGACTAACGCAGGGGCCTGGCAAGCAGAGACTCGGCTGGTCCCTTGGGCAATGTAAACAATTTTTTTTGGTTTTTTGTTTTCATAATCTTTTCCTGGGACTATAAATTAGAGGAAAGACACAAATCGGATTACATGGTTCTTTGTAATCCACAAAGGACTTCTACATACTTTTTGCTAAGTGGCTATTTCAAGAGGCTGAAGGGGTCAGCCAGTGGAGAGTAGCTGAGACACTTTGGTTTTTCTCCTGGTGTGAGGAGGAAGGAGAAAGTGACTCGGCCTACTTTGAGGTGACTTACCCTGTTGTCCACCACAGGTAACGAATGCTCTTTGTTGAGACTATACATTTCTTAATGGGACATAATTGGGATATGTTTGTTGACTATTGAATAGTACTTTGATATTTGGAGGTAGAGTGGTTGGAGTAGTTCCAGAGACCTTCAAACTTGGCTAACTCAGTTTCAAAATTCATGCTTATGGGTTGGAGATGGAGAAGGAAAGGCTTTGTGATTCCGGGACCTATTTAGTGTTTCCATTTCAAGCATCTCTAAAATAATCTTCCTTCTGATTCTGACCAATAGGTGTTGGAACAACTTGCCTGCTATGGAAAGAAGACACCAACTTTTATCTTGGGATGGCAGAAAATGTTGTATGTCTTGCGTATTCCCTTCTTGGTGACTATCAACAGCCATGAAACTCACCACAGGTCTATTTCCTCTTGTGAGATAGAAAGTAATCATCAGCACAGCAACAAATAATAGCACACACCAGGCATCTGGTTTGTCACCATTCTTAGATGAAATCAGAGTTTGATAGGCTCAGGCTATAAAATAGCTGTGCTTTTTTAGTCCATAGATCAACGAATTTAGGAACAGAGAAATTTAGGACTTTTCTGTAATGTTCCATAAAGAAAGTTTACCTTATGTCTAATCTTTTTTTTTTAATGCTGTGACATAGTGGTATACAGACTTGGAATTTCCCCTAAATGTAACTACCAGTTATCTCTGGCTACCACAATCCTAGAGAGATGCTTTTCTTTGTCTGTTTGTAATATCTACAATGAAATAATTGTACTTCATTGGGAATATATGAATATAACAAGTGTCTACCTATTGCCTTTTTTTTTTTTTCTGTGAGGAAGATCAGCCCCGAGCTAACATCCATGCCAATCCTCCTCTTTTTGCTGAGGAAGACTGGCCCTGAGCTAACATCCGTGCCCATCTTCCTCCACTTTATATGGGATGCCGCCACAGCATGGCCTGACAAGCGGTGTGTCAGTGCGCGCCCGGGATCCGAACCTGCCAGCAGCGGAGTGCGCGCACTTAACCACTAGGCCATAGGGCCGGCCCCTTCCTATTGCCTTTTAAAGTTTAGTTCTTCCTTTGAAGTGTCCTATAGGCTTAATTTCTGGTTCTACATCAAGATATTTAACAAAAAAATCATTTCTCACCAATTGAGATGCCACAGTGGAGGGTCAAAGTTTTGCCCTTTTTCTTCAAATACCTCACATTATTTCTTTTTCCAGAGCTAAAATAAAGACACTTGTTGCTACACGCTAAAACTAGAAGCCTGACACAATGTGGCTTACTAGAAAGGCAGTAAAATAATTTGCTCCAGTATCAATTGTGAGAAAAATAGGGATTTTTTAATGACCTTTAAATTGCAGCTAATGTCATTATGACTAATTTTTAAATGAGATAGAATGAATTGTTCCATTTACACCTTTAAAAACTTCTTATTAGGCATTATGTAATTCTGCTCCAGCAGGTAGAATCCGAATTGGTAGGCAAACAGGAAACAAATATTGGCTTAATGTAAGAAAAAAATTTCTAACAATTTGAACTCAAAAGTGTTAAAAATGGGACAGACTTCTTTTAAAGATAATGAACTTCTCTTTGTGGGAAGCAGTTAAGTAAAGATTGTATGAACATCTGTCAGAGATCCTAGGATTATATTCCTATATTGAACACAGTATATGACCGCTATGGTCCTTTTATTCTAAAGATTCTGTAACAAGTGAAGAAATGGAGGAGAAAACCCATCTAGGCCAAATATTCAGTATGATGGGAAGACACTTAACATTGTCTCCAAGGAAGAGGTTCAAATTGTTTCTAACTTAGAAGGTGAAAATTTGTTTTTGATCTATCATGTGAGTTCTCCCAGATGCTCAGAAATTTTTCCTTACTTAATACTACAACAAAAGACAGGCGACTGGGATAGTCCCTTCTACAACTAGGTACAGTCCCAAAGTTCTACTGTACTGTCATTATGAAGTGTCCATGTACTCACTCAACTGTTAGAGTGGGCAGGCATGTATAAAATTTCACAAATTTTCCTTGCTGATAAAGTCTTGACATTGAAAATTTATATATTTATTTTATCAGTAATTTTTTCCAGAGCATGCAGACCGAAGATTGCTTATCAGATAAGTTGGCCACCAACTAACCAGGACCTTGACTCCTCTATGAGTAGATATAATGTGTACTCACAGCACACTGCTGTATCTTGAAAGTTGGCCAACAGACAGAATTCCAATGGTTAAACAACTGGCTTCTATAATAATAGCACTTCCCTTTAAATAATGCATGGTCAGTGGAGTAATTCAATAATCTTCAGGGCAAACTTGCTAGTTACAAGGGTTTTGGGCAGAATTGTGGCATCATCAAAACCACACCAAT